TGACCACTGAAGCCCATTGTTATCAATGCACTCATCGTTTGGGATGTGATTAATGTGTAAACACTTAGTGTTAAACATATTATTAACAATAGTTTGTGTTTTAAATGCAATTTAGACGACAATCCATCAAATGATGGCATTATTGCCATTCAATCACTCTTTCACTCCATATATAGTCAACACTTGTTGTCCACTCTTTTCACTACCAATTCATCGCTTATTATGTAATAAATAAACTTTTAATTCAATTCAATAAATAACTAATTTATATAAATAAATATTTGTCATCAAAATGTGATAACAAATCAACCATTTATTGCAAACATTTGACGTAATCATCAAAACATAGCGTTATATACATTATGTGCCGTTATTTATGACCACTAACTCTAACTGCCCTTTGGTTTGCATTCAATGATTATTAAATCACTCAATCATTTATAACTATTTATAAATTACACAACACTTGAGTACAGACCCAATAGTACGACAATAATGGACCACATGGTCAATGATGTGGCCATTTATGCCACTATCGCACTGTCAAGTGTTGGCCGGGGTTTGTGTCACAAATGGGGGGCAAATGATGACAGACTAATCATGTGTTGAACAATGTTTTGAATTCACTTCAATTGTATTGCATTTACATTCAGTTGTCATTCAAATCAATATCTGTTTGATTGACTTATTGTTGACTTTCATATCGTTTTGATTGCATATTACCGCACAATGTATAGCGTTATGAACCGATCGTACAAACAATTGGCTTCAAAAGTATGTTTACAATAGTTTTGATGTAAAAGTAATTAATTGTAGTTTTGTTGAGGCGTTGAATATAGGGTTAAGTATGCGCTCACTTCACACCACATTCACCCGCAATGCCGTTGAAAGCCAGTCATCACTACTTGTGGTCAATGAGTCCAATGGTGTCCGAGAAGTGCTCTTAAATAACCCCAAAAAGAGGTGACAAATGTTTTACATAATTGTCGACTCAATCGGTGTTTGAAAACTGTTTACAAATGTTTAATTCATTTAAGGCTTTGTGTGATTACTATTGATAGATAACAATGATTTTGGGTCGGGTTCCTCAAAATGACCACAACTTTTCTTATGTACAATTGAACGGTGAACGCGAATATCAAGTTTAAAACTTTTTATCTCGAATATCTTTCGAGTTATTCGACTTAAGATTTAGAACTTTTGTTCGAAAAACATTTTTTAATGAAATATATTAATATCTTATATGCGATACAGAATTGAACGCTGAACACGAATTTGAAATGCAAATGTGTCTAGGTCCAATTCCTTTCGAGATATTCGACTTTCAGTCAGTCAGTCATTGAATTAAATTATATTTAGTTATTCATTATATATTACAACACAATAACACATAATTTAACACAACATTTATTGAATATCTCAAACTATATTCAATTTGTTATCAATAATATAGTTAAGTATGTTAATGTTATATCAATAATATTATATACATTAACTGTAGTTTAGTATTTATAATAAATTCAAGGAAAACCGATTGTTTGCAATTTTGCCCATATTTTGCAAGTGTTTTAGCTTTACGTAAATGTTAACCACAATTCATATGTGAAGATGTGGTTTATAGAATCTCGACGCTTCCCCTCCCCCAACCCTATGGCATCTTATGCTAATCCTATGGCTATACCTTAACATTGGGAGACTCTCATAGGATGACATGGCGACACTTTTGCTACGGGAAAATGAGTTTATATAGGTTTCTATGGGATTACAGCTTATGTCTATGGCAATGTTAATCCTGTGGGTAATGTTAAGTCTATGGGAGTAATGTTATTTCAATGGGATAATT